ACCCATCTCACAGAGCACACCAGTGTATCCAACGGGGCATTAACAGGTGGCTGAGGATGTGGCGTCGTCTAGGACACAAATACCGCCATTCTGGCAAGGGCAGACGTCTGTATAAAGAAAATAAGACAACATCAATATAAAACATTCAAATAAAAGATAAAAACTATAAATCTTTTGCTCATGAAAAATAGGTATATGAGAGCCAAGTCAAGTAAAAAAAAAAAATCCAAAGCTGATATAATTTATTCAATGGCATGCAAACTTATTGAATGATAATTGTTGCTGATGCCCCACCAGGTTGTCAAGGCTTTCCATGAAAGAGCAACTAAATGTACCAAGTTGTTCTCAATGACAAGTAACATTATAACTGTTATAAGATACTGAAATCAACGCATTTGATTGGCTGAGAGCAAATTTGTCAAAGAATTTTAGCATTAATTATTGATAAGAGGTTTTATAAAACAAGGCCCAAGTCTGATGGATGGACGCCAAAGATAGAAAGAGGATGGATTCAGAATAACAGAATGTTCTCACCGCTAAGGTCGAGCATCTCAGCTTCTCTCCTCCTTCTGCCGTTGTTGATACACAGGTATTGGGCTGGGATGTAGAAGCACTGTTCACTGGGAGCGCATGGGTTGCTGGAACAAGGGTTGGCACCAACTGAAAATACACAAAAACACATGACAATGATTATAACAATAATAATGATAATAATACAGTGAAACCTGTATATAAAGACCGCTTAAAGGAAACATTAAATGTCTTTAAAGATGGGTGGTCTTTATTTACAGGTTTCAATGAGAAACAATATTCAAGGGAAACAAAATATGTGTCCTTTCTATACAGGTGGTCGCCAAAAAGGTTTGAATGTAATAATGGTAATTATAATGTCTGTCTCTCATATAGCGCGTGACCAATTAACTGACCAATTATTATTTTCCATATTACAGTGTACATTCTCCGCTCCCTGGGGGGCATTGCAGCTAGTCACTTTTTTATAGACGCCTACACATGCTTATCTAACCAGGTATTCATTTAACACCCGTATGGAGAGGAAGGTAGATAAAATGTTATTGTTTAAGGACATAAACAGATGTGGTTCATGCAAATTGATAACAACTTGATACCAATTTCAACTCTGTACTACAGAGAGTTTGTAAATATGCACTTGATTGGAGTTTTGATTTATCGTTCAAAACTATTAATAAGACAAGTTAATATGCCCCTCAGAGCTTGGGTCCAACCAGACATCCGGGGAAACAATACCGGTAGTTTGGATGTCAATTTATGTTCACAGTTGCCTAATACATGGTAAACCTATAACAGGGCTTCACAACAATTTTTCTGGAAGGGGGTCAGAATTTTTGGGGCCAGACTCAGATTTTGAGGGCTCCATGTGTCGCAGTGCCTATTGGTGTAGAGCCCTGCATTTAAAGACCCATACAGAAAAGGTGGCCCTTATAGAGAGGTGGCTGCGAAGCCCGATTTGACTATACTTTGTTTACAGACATGGGTTTACCTTGGACTTTAAAAGAGAAGCTACAGCTTGCTGTAAGTCCTTGAGCATCGCTGAAGGTGAAGGTGCAGTGTGCACTCTGATAGCAAACTAATCTCCTGGTTCGTTGGAGGTTGATGTGACGGATCCAGAGTTGTCCGTCGCAGTGGGTGGAGCGAAGTTGACATCGATGCTTTTGGCATCTGGTGCAGTGAAATAAATCTGTCCGTTATTGTTTACAGAGGATTGTAAGTCTTGCAGATCTTGCTAACTTACGAGATGGATGGTGCTAACAATCCTTATATAAAATCCAATATGTGCTTTTTATACAGAAATGATAGTTCTTACGAAACCAAACTCATTACAATCTAATCAAGTTGCCATGTCCGGGTGAATTGAAGGTAGAGATATGCTAATGCAACAATGGCCTATTCTATAGACAAGTACTTGTATTTCGTAGGAAGATAACACTTGAATAGGGCACACATGGAACCCAAGTCGGACTTTAGTTCTTTGCTCACTCTGTTCTATTGGTTTGTTTGTTACCCTTTATTGTCTTCATAGTCATACTCCTTTATTTTGTAAAATATCTAGACATTTTTGTTTGGCTGATCTTATATTTGCAGTGATACACAAGATTATTTTTTTCAGGCGATTGGTACACTTTAACATGTGTATGAATCCGAGTTTTCTAAAACATCGACATATTTGCTTCTATCTTTACTCTCTTTCAACCACAATCTCTTCTAAACACAAGTTCCCACCTACCTGTGACGGTGACAGAGAAAGAGCAGCTTTCGAAGTTGCTGCTTGGGTCTGTGGCGGTGTACGCCACGCTAGTGTATCCCACGACAAAGAAAGATCCAGAGCTCTGTGAGGCCGCAACGCTGGCTACACCGATGGGCTCGGTCCAGCTGACGGTAGTTGGGCTGCTACCGAAGGGGACGGTCTCGTCGATGTTGCTTGGCCAGTTGAGGAAGGATGGTCGGGTGCCATCCTTTCCTGGATAAATCGTTGCTTGATGAATCATAATGAAGCAAGAATATCTCTTTAAATGGCATATCACCTTTACACTTTTCCCCTGATCTGTACTGAGCATTGGTCTAAATCAGGACATTCAAAGAGAAGACTGATAAGAAAAAAATTCTATGGTACCAGTTTAGTCAGTACCCTCGTTATTTGTCCCCTTGCAACTCCTACCAATAACACTGCATGGCTCTGTCTTTCTAATGATCTATACCTATGCTAACTTACATATTTTTGGCATGCAGAGAGGAGTTGCAATACATTTTACAGGCAGATTAATAGCCTCTTGCTAAACATGTTATGGAGTGGAGTTTACTAATACGAGTGCTCCCTAATTCATATAAGACATGGCCCAGATTATATTATTGCAGTCTGTGCATTTAATAGAAGCCTACGTACCAAGATTGACAACGATATTAAAGGTAATACAAAGTTTTGGTATGGGGTCATGAATTTGGTTCAAATGAACATATTGGAAGCATATGCGACCCTACAATATTCAGTGATCGTTGTCCTGGTTGAAATCGAGTCTTAAGTTATGAAATTGTCGATAATAAACTCTTTATGTTGTATAGCTCTCTCTCAAGGTCAAGATATTAATTAAGCTATAAAACAATGTTTCCGGACCAAAATCGACCGATTTGCTATTCCCATTTGGAAATTATATATCACAACTACATATTCTGAGATTTGCATGGTCGCAGCTACCATTGTACAGCCGTAGGTGCTATTTGAAATTTATCAAAATTTACCATGAGCACCGGTAAATTTTTATATTCAATTTTCTTGAAAGCAGAAGTGTTTCAGGTGCTAAATTTTCTAGTGCTTATAATACATCCACAGGGGCATCCAAATATATCAAAATTGTAAAGAATCACTATCCACCCAATTTTCAAAATTTCCCAAACCTTGTATTACCTTTAAAGGAACATTATCCAACGTTGCTGAGGAAATCAGTCGCGGTGTGAGTGATGGTGGGGAAAGAGGAGCTGGAGTTGAAGTTGCTAGTGACGGTGGCCACACCCAAGATATTGGTAAAGATGGGTTTCGGTCCAGGTGATAGTCTGGGATGCAGGGCAATTGGAGGTGACTGGGGCTGTGATGTCTAAGGAAAATCAACAAGTTTATTACAATAATATTAAGAGCTTAATTTCAACACTTTCGTTATGATCTTCGCTCGTTTGTCACATATGCTATTTTGCACAAACCGATAAGTACAAAATGAAAATTAAAGATGATTTTGATTTCGGTTAGGTTCCTTTGGTCCAGAGTTGAAGTTTAGAATTATGATAAGGTAGCTTAGCGAATTGTAGGGGTAGAAAAGAAGCAACTGAAATGCAAAATGACTTCAGTTACTTGCTCACTCTGTTCTATTGGTTTGTTTGTTACCCTTTATTGCCTTCATAGTCATACTCCTTTATTTTGTAAAATACCTAAAAAAAATTGTTTGGCTGATCTTATATATTCCAGTGATACCCAATATTTTTATTCTTCAGGCGATTGGTACACTTTAACACGTGTATGTATCTGAGTTTTCTAAAACATCAACATTTTTGCATTTATCTTTACTCCCTTTCAACCACAATCTCTTCTTAACACAAGTTCCCACCTATCTGTGACGGTGACAGAGAAAGAGCAGCTTTCGAAGTTGCTGCTTGCGTCTGTGGCGGTGTAGGCCACGTTAGTGTATCCCACGACAAAGAAAGATCCAGAGCTCTGTGAGGCCGCAACTCTGGCTACACCAATGGGCTCGGTCCAGCTGACGGTAGTTGGGCTGCTACCGAAGGGGACGGTCTCGTCGATGTTGCTTGGCCAGTTGAGGAAGGATGGTCGGGTGCCATCCGTTCCTGGATAAATTGTTCCTTGATGAATCATAATGAAGCAAGAATATCTCTTTAAATGGCATATAACCTTTACACTTTTCCCCTGATCTGTACTGAGCATAAACAAGTACTTGTATTTCGGTAGCAAGATTACACTTGTTATGGGGCACACATGGAACCCAAGTCGGACTTCAGTTCTTTGCTCACTCTGTTCTATTGGTTTGTTTGTTACCCTTTATTGCCTTCATAGTCATACTCCTTTATTTTGTAAAATACCTTAAAAAAAATTGTTCGGCTGATCTTATATATTCCAGTGATACCCAATATTTTTATTCTTCAGGCGATTGGTACACTTTAACACGTGTATGTATCTGAGTTTTCTAAAACATCAACATTTTTGCTTCTATCTTTACTCTCTTTCAACCACAATCTCTTCTAAACACAAGTTCCCACCTACCTGTGACGGTGACAGAGAAAGAGCAGCTTTCAAAGTTGCTGCTTGCGTCTGTGGCGGTGTAGGCCACGTTAGTGTATCCCACGACAAAGAAAGATCCAGAGCTCTGTGAGGCCGCAACTCTGGCTACACCAATGGGCTCGGTCCAGCTGACAGTAGTTGGGCTGCTACCGAAGGGGACGGTCTCGTCGATGTTGCTTGGCCAGTTGAGGAAGGATGGTCGGGTGCCATCCGTTCCTGGATAAATCGTTCCTTGATGAATCATAATGAAGCAAGAATATATCTTTAAATGGCATATAACCTTTACACTTTTCCCCTGATCTGTACTGAGCATAGGTCTAAATCAGGACATTCAAAGAGAAGACTGATAAGAAAAATTCCTATGGTACCATTTTAGTCAGTACCCTCGATATTTGTCCATTTGCAACTCCTACCAATAACACTGCATGGCTCTGTCTTTCTAATGATCTATACCTATGCTAACTTACATATTTTTGGCATGTTAGCGTATTCCACGACAAAGAAAGATCCAGAGCTCTGTGGGGCCGCAATGCTGGCTACACCAATGGGCTCGGTCCAGCTGACGGTAGTTGGGCTGCTACCGAAGGGGACGGTCTCGTCGATGTTGCTTGGCCAGTTGAGGAAGGATGGTCGGGTGCCATCCGTTCCTGGATAAATCGTTCCTTGATGAATCATAATGAAGCAAGAATATATCTTTAAATGGCATATAACCTTTACACTTTTCCCCTGATCTGTACTGAGCATTGGTCTAAATCAGGACATTCAAAGAGAAGACTGATAAGAAAAAATTCTATGGTACCAGTTTAGTCAGTACCCTTGTTATTTGTCCCCTTGCAACTCCTACCAATAACACTGCATGGCTTTGTCTTTCTAATGATCTATACCTATGCTAACTTACATATTTTTGGCATACAGAGAGGAGTTGCAATACATTTTACAGGCAGATTAATAGCCTCTTGCTAAACATGTTATGGAGTGGAGTTTACTAATACGAGTTCTCCTTAATTCATATAAGACATGGCCCAGATTATATTATTGCAGTCTGTGCATTTAATAGAAGCCTACGTACCAAGATTGACAACGATATTAAAGGCAATACAAAGTTTTGGTATGGGGTCATGAATTTGGTTCAAATGAACATATTGGAAGCATATGCGACCCTACAATATTCAGTGATCGTTGTCCTGGTTGAAATCGAGTCTAAAGATATGAAATTGTCGATAATAAACTCTTTATGTTGTATAGCTCTCTCTCAAGGTCAAGATATTAATTAAGCTATAAAACAATGTTTCCGGACCAAAATTGACCGATTTGCTATTCCCATTTGGAAATTATATATCACAACTACATATTCTGAGATTTGCATGGTCGCAGCTACCATTGTACAGCCGTAGGTGCTATTTGAAATTTATCAAAATTTACCATGAGCACCGGTAAATTTTTATATTCAATTTTCTTGAAAGCAGAAGTGTTTCAGGTGCTAAATTTTCTAGTGCTTATAATACATCCACAGGGGCATCCAAATATATCAAAATTGTAAAGAATCACTATCCACCCAATTTTCAAAATTTCCCAAACCTTGTATTACCTTTAAAGGAACATTATCCAACGTTGCTGAGGAAATCAGTCGCGGTGTGAGTGATGGTGGGGAAAGAGGAGCTGGAGTTGAAGTTGCTAGTGACGGTGGCCACACCCAAGATATTGGTAAAGATGGGTTTCGGTCCAGGTGATAGTCTGGGATGCAGGGCAATTGGAGGTGACTGGGGCTGTGTTGTCTAAGGAAAATCAACAAGTTTATTACAATAATATTAAGAGCTTAATTTCAACACTTTCGTTATGATCTTCGCTCGTTTGTCACACATGCTATTTTGCACAAACCCATAAGTACAAAATGAAAATTAAAGATGATTTTGATTTCGGTTAGGTTCCTTTGGTCCAGAGTTGAAGTTAAGAATTATGATAAGGTAGCTTAGCGAATTGTAGGGGTAGAAAAGAAGCAACTGAAATGCAAAATGACTTCAGTTACTTGCTCACTCTGTTCTATTGGTTTGTTTGTTACCCTTTATTGCCTTCATAGTCATACTCCTTTATTTTGTAAAATACCTAAAAAAAATTGTTCGGCTGATCTTATATATTCCAGTGATACCCAATATTTTTATTCTTCAGGCGATTGGTACACTTTAACACGTGTATGTATCTGAGTTTTCTAAAACATCAACATTTTTGCATTTATCTTTACTCCCTTTCAACCACAATCTCTTCTTAACACAAGTTCCCACCTATCTGTGACGGTGACAGAGAAAGAGCAGCTTTCGAAGTTGCTGCTTGCGTCTGTGGCGGTGTAGGCCACGTTAGTGTATCCCACGACAAAGAAAGATCCAGAGCTCTGTGAGGCCGCAACGCTGGCTACACCAATGGGCTCGGTCCAGCTGACGGTAGTTGGGCTGCTACCGAAGGGGACGGTCTCGTCGATGTTGCTTGGCCAGTTGAGGAAGGATGGTCGGGTGCCATCCGTTCCTGGATAAATCGTTGCTTGATGAATCATAATGAAGCAAGAATATCTCTTTAAATGGCATATAACCTTTACACTTTTCCCCTGATCTGTACTGAGCATAAACAAGTACTTGTATTTCGGTAGCAAGATTACACTTGTTATGGGGCACACATGGAACCCAAGTCGGACTTCAGTTCTTTGCTCACTCTGTTCTATTGGTTTGTTTGTTACCCTTTATTGTCTTCATATAGTCATACTCCTTTATTTTGTAAAATACCTAGAAATTTTTGTTCGGCTGATCTTATATATTCCAGTGATACCCAATATTTTTATTCTTCAGGCGATTGGTACACCTTAACACGTGTATGTATCTGAGTTTTCTAAAACATCAACATTTTTGCTTCTGTCTTTACTCTCTTTCAACCACAATCTCTTCTAAACACAAGTTCCCACCTACCTGTGACGGTGACAGAGAAAGAGCAGCTTTCAAAGTTGCTGCTTGCATCTGTGGCGGTGTAGGCCACGTTAGTGTATCCCACGACAAAGAAAGATCCAGAGCTCTGTGAGGCCGCAACGCTGGCTACACCAATGGGCTCAGTCCAGCTGACAGTAGTTGGGCTGCTACCGAAGGGGACGGTCTCGTCGATGTTGCTTGGCCAGTTGAGGAAGGATGGTCGGGTGCCATCCGTTCCTGGATAAATCGTTCCTTGATAAATCATAATGAAGCAAGAATATCTCTTTAAATGGCATATAACCTTTACACTTTTCCCCTGATCTGTACTGAGCATAGGTCTAAATCAGGACATTCAAAGAGAAGACTGATAAGAAAAATTCCTATGGTACCATTTTAGTCAGTACCCTCGATATTTGTCCATTTGCAACTCCTACCAATAACACTGCATGGCTCTGTCTTTCTAATGATCTATACCTATGCTAACTTACATATTTTTGGCATGTTAGCGTATTCCACGACAAAGAAAGACCCAGAGCTCTGTGGGGCCGCAACGCTGGCTACACCAATGGGCTCGGTCCAGCTGACGGTAGTTGGGCTGCTACCGAAGGGGACGGTCCCGTCGATGTTGCTTGGCCAGTTGAGGAAGGATGGTCGGGTGCCATCCGTTCCTGGATAAATCGTTCCTTGATAAATCATAATGAAGCAAGAATATCTCTTTAAATGGCATATCGTCTTTACACTTTTCCCCTGATCTGTACTGAGCATAGGTCTTAATTAGGACATTCAAGGAGAAGACTGATAAGAAAAATTCCTATTGTTCCATTTTAGTCAGTACCCTCTATATTTGTCCCCTTGCAACTCCTACCAATAACACTGCATGGCTCTGTCTTTCTAATGATCTATACCTATGCTAACTTACATATTTTTGGCATACAGAGAGGAGTTGCAATACATTTTACAGGCAGATTAATAGCCTCTTGCTGAACATGTTATGGAGTAGAGTTTACTAATACGAGTGCTCCTAAATTCATAAAAGCAGGGCCCAGATTTTATTATTGCAGTCTGTGCATTTAATAGAAGCCTACGTACCAAGATTGACAACGATATTAAAGGAACATTATCCAACGTTGTGGTGTAAGTGACGGTAGGGAAAGAGGAGCCGGAGTTGAAGTTGCTGGTGACCACACCTGAGCTATCAGTAAAGATGGGTTTCGGTCCAGGTGATAGTCTAGGAAGTAGGGCAGTTGGAGGTGACTGGGGCTGTGTTGTCTTAGGAAAATAAACAAGTTTATTAGAATGATATTTAGAGCTTATTTTCAACACTTTAGTTATATACGATCTTCGCTCGTTTGTCACACATGCTATTTTGCACTTAACGATAGGTACAAAATGAAAATCAAAGACGATTCTGATTTCAGTTAGCTTCTAGTGTTAGGTTTCATTGGTCCAGAGTTGAAGTTTAGAATTATGAAAAGGTAGCTTAGCGAATTGTAGGGGTAGAAAAGACGCAACTGTAACGCAAAATGACTTCAGTTCCTTGCTCACTCTGTTATATTGGTTTGTTTGTTACCCTTTATTATCTTAATAGTCATACTCCATTATTTTGTAAAATACCTAGAAATTTTTGTTCGGCTGATCTTATATATTCCAATGATACTCAAGATTTGTTTTTCTTCAGGCGATTGGTACACTTGAACGCGTGTATGTATTTGAGTTTTCTAAAACATCAACATTTTTGCTTGTATCTTTACTCCCTTTCAACCACAATCTCTTTTAACACAAGTTTCCACCTACCTGTGACGGTGACAGAGAAAGAGCAGCCTTTGAAGTTGCCGCTTGGGTCTGTGGCGATGTACACCATGTAAGTGTATTCCACGGCAAAGAAAAATCCAGAGCTCTGTGGGGCCGCAACGCTGGCTACACCAATGGGCTCGGTCCAGCTGACGGTAGTTGGGCTGCTACCGAAGGGGACGGTCTCGTCAATGTTGCTTGGCCAGTTGAGGAAGGATGGTCGGGTGCCATCTGTTCCTGGATAAATCGTTCCTTGATGAATCATAATGAAGCAAGAATATCTCTTTAAATGACATATCACCTTTATACACTTTTCTCCCGATCTGTACTGAGCATAGGTCTAAATCAGGACATTCAAAGAGAAGACTGATAACAAAAATTCCTATGGTACCCAAAATATAAAATAGTTCTAGTCAGTACCCTCGTTATTTCTCCCCTTGCAACTTCTACCAATAACACAGCTTAGCTCTGTCTTTCTAACAATCCATACCTAGCTGTGTAGGTGACCTCAGTAGATCCAACAGCAATGGAACTGCCTTGTAGTTGATTGACCGTCAGGGAAACGGAGTCTGAGTTGTCTGATGCCACAGGAGCCAGCCATAAAACCACCGGGGTCGAGGTACCAGGGCTGGCATTGGCGACGATGTCGGTTAAACAGCTGGTCAGGACGGGGTTCTCTCTGTCGATGACCACTGTGACAAAGAAATTGGATGAAAATGATGTCAGAGATAGGGAATATGTACATGCAGCCTCCATTTTCAAAAAATATAAGTTGCTTCCTCTATCCAGAGATACAGTGTACATTCATCTTCTCAGATTTGGTACAAATTTGAATCATTTCACTACCTACATTTTTACAATTCTAATCTGCTCATGAAACACAGACAAATGCCAAACATAGCAACATGTTTATATGCAGAAAAAATTTGAACCAAACAATTGCTGTAATAGAGTAAAGTGTTAACGTCATGTTCACTTGTCGTCCGGGTTACTGGTTTTAAACAGAGCCCGTCAATGAGGTTCAAGGCACAATCATTCACACAACAAGCTAGAGCAGGGCAAAGTCAGTGTTTGGCACCGGTGTGATCACCACATCATGGTTTAGCACAAATTGTTTGTAACCAGCAACCTTGACAACTTGGCTAGTATGACGTCACACCTTGGTACTCTATACATAAATGGGTCAGTTAAAGCAAGTATTTTTTTCAAAGCAAGATTTCACAATAATGTCTTACACTCCCAAAACAAATCAAAAACAAACAAAAACTAGACATATAATACTTGTTTGGAACAAGTATAGGTGGGCTGGTCAACTAAAATTTGAGACAAAATAGAGCAAAAATAAGCGACATACTGCTTAGAAATTCTTAAAAAACAATATCATGTAGATTCATAACGTGAATTAAAATCACCTTCTATAGGCATAACATGCAAATTATGTCACTTTTGACAAAAGGCCTTTAATCGAAATTTTCACTCTAATGACGTCATCAAAATGAAAAATGGTTATTATTAAACATGTAGAAAATTATCATAGCTACAACATATCGAAATTTGGAAGAAAATTGATCAATATACAGAGATACAATCAATTTTCCATAAATATGCTGACGTCATAATATGCAAATTCCTAGTTTTAGTTCGAAGGTCATTATGATGATGTCACGATACACTTAATGGCCAAATGAGACATGGAATCATATCTCCGACTCATACTCTATCCAAATATGAAAAAAAATTGAAGGTCACGGTTCATTCCAAAGAGCTATAATGAATTTTGTATAGGCATGTTTTTTCCCATATATGCTATGTATTAAAAGCGCTCGCGCGCACTGTCATTTATCTTGAATTGACGCTCATCTTGTTATTAATGGTCATAAAGAGATAAACATGGTATCAAATTCCTTGAAAAAATATGAGAAATATCATGAAAGAAAAAAAATGGCGATTCTATGTTTTGTAATGGTGTTACGCGCGACAACGCGCGCGCAATTTTTTATGAAATGCTTAAAATGACCTGAAACGTATGCAAAAATAATTTAAGACGATTTTGAGCATTTAAAATTTTTGCGCGCGTATTGATGCGCGGACGTACGCACACTCGCGCGTTTTTTGACCTGAATTTGACCGGACTGATATTGACCTTAATCATGATAAATATGAATGAGAAATTATATTTGGTTATGAAGATATGATCACGAGTTGATTTTCAAAAAATTTCATAAAATAGCGCCTAGATGACGTCATCAGTCAAAAATTTGCTGTGTTTTGTGAATATGCCTATACATATGTGTGTTAAATTTTAAGATATTTGATTGAGCCATTTTCAAATCATCTTGCACACAAAAAAGTGGGTCGAAATAAGAAAAATAAATAAATAAATAAATAAATAAAGGCGATTTTAACAAAAATATAAGGTGGTCTGTATTAGATACAGCCCACCTGATAATTAAAAGAAAATCACTGACCTCCACTTGAAGTGACAGTGACTTTAAAGCTGCATGTCGAGTAGAAACTAGCGTTATCGATAAGGTAATAGATGACCAGATAAGTGCTAACATCAAAGGAATCACCAGGCGAGAAGTTACTGACTGCTGTGATGGGTTCTGAGGCGTCCGTAGCTGTAGAGGCGTCCCAGGAGGCCGTGGCACTGCTGGCACAGGACGCAGCCTGGACGAAGACGTTACAGGGACAAAACGTGATCTCTGGGGCGGTAGTGTCGCTGCCTTTTGTGGTGGAGGTCGAATTCAGTTTAACTTTTATTTATTAATGTAATGAAGATTAGGTCTGAGAAAGCTTCAATCAGAGAAAGTGAAAATGCTCCAAAGATGATTACAGATAGTCCGTGGTCAAATTTTCTACATCAACCAAATCCCGAATTCAGCTCAGGACCAAACACTATATCTAATGCTCACTTAGTTAAAAAAACTAACCTTGAACTCAATACCAACCCTAATCTTAATCTTCAACAAAATAAAGTCTGGAGTAGTTTAGATTAACAGCTAAGGATCACCTTGTGATACGATTGAAATATCTAAAATGTCAAATGTGAAAGAGCTTTATTTTAATTGCTTCATGGTAACTATAATAAATAGGAATCACTTGTGTTTCAACCAACGGTAGACCTTTGCTGTATACATGGTCAATCAAAGTATCACCTTCAGTGGTTGATTGCTTTACATGTTGTGTATAGCCATGATTACACATCAAGTCTTGTATTCTAGATGACTGTTTTAATAAGTTATCATTGAAGTCGCCCATTACAATACATTTTGTACCCACTTTATGTAGCTCTTCTAATAAGTTATTCAAACACTCACAGAAGTCTTTCATTCTGTATGTCGGAGGGCGATAAACAACTGCAATGACAACAGAAACAGGACAGGTTATAAGAAAAGCAATAAACTCTAGATTATCAATCTTTATATCAAGTCTGCTTGAAAATTCATTCTTGCTATAAACTGCAACACCTCCATGTGACTGGTCCTTGAACTGTTGCCTTGAGTCACTTGTGATAGAATAAGAGTTATATCTTGATTGATGATACAATTTGAAATGAGCTAAGCATATTTCAAAAGCATCATCCTTATCCGATAGCCATGTTTCAGTCAAACAAATAATATCAGAATTCAGGAATGTTGGATTGCATTGTAAGTCTACATAATGTTGTTTTAATCCTTGAATATTGTGCAACATTATGCATAAACCATCATCATATGTTTCCTCTGCTATAGAAGTTTCCAAGAAATTGGTCATATCATTAAGGTGTTTTTTAATCTTTGGATCACAGTATATAACTTTTGGATGAAAATCTTCAATGGTAAGTCCAGATAAAGAAGTTACACGACTCAGGCCTACATAGCTATGTCCAGATGCAAATATTTTTTTCAGTGATACTACTACTTTATTTAAAGTCATGCCTTGTACTTTGTGAACCGTGCAAGCATAAGCCAGTTTGAGGGGAAATTGCTTTCTTGTGTAATTTTTACCCATTGATTCTTCATACATTTTGATCGATTGAATGCCAATTTTCTGGCTATCAAATTTTACACTGATGCAGTATGGCTTGGATTCGTTGTTTCGTTTTACTATTTCTGCAACTGTACCTATACATCCATTTGTCAAACCTATATTGGTATCAATATTTTTTAAAAGCATCACCCTGGCATTCAAAGCAATTGACAGATTGCGAGGCAAAGAACTTTGACCAGATTTACATGGTTCGGTACATATTTCGTCATTATCCTTGCTGTTATTTCTGTCTTCAGCTTTAACACATATAATATCTTCACATTTGCTGTGCAACATTCTGCTATTCCATTCATTTACTTGTTTATTAGTTGAATAGATGTGCATATCTTCTTCACATTCTTCACCAGTTTCACGAGAGGTAAGGATGGATAAATCTGCATCTGATAAAGTGTCTTTCTTTTCCTTAACTCTCAATCTATTCAAGAGTAGAGCAAATGCCAAATCTTCCTTTTGTCTCATTATTTCAACCAGTTCTACCTTTTTGAAATTTTCAGACCACAGCGATTGTTCTACCGATTCCTTATACAAGGGTGTTCCTTTCACAGGTGGTAATTGATAAAAATCTCCAACTGCCAATACCGAAACGTTACCGAATGGACAATCAGTGCGTGATTGCTTAATTTGTCTTAATCGACCGTGTATGTAGTACAACAATTTGGAATCTACCATGGAAATTTCATCTATGATCAAAATTTGCAACTGTCCAAGCTTATTACGAAGGGTGTTAATTCTTTCTTCACCAAGTGGTCGATAAGGAAATTTGGCGTTGATTGGAACTGAGAGTGCACTGTGAATTGTAGATCCATCTATATTGAATGCAGCTATGCCAGTTGGTGCAACTTTCAAGATTGAAATGTCATCAGGATTAACCATCATTTTACCAAGTATGCGTACAGCTTCGTGGTATATACATTTTATTAAATAAGATTTTCCTGTTCCTGCACCACCACTAATAAGTACATGAAAAGGTTGACTTTCTGTACCATTCACTTTCTCTAAGCACCATTGTCTAATTTTGTAAAAGATTTCTTTTTGCTCATTGTTTAAACATCGAATCAAACTATTTGATTCATGTTTTGAAATTCCATGGCTTCGAAATTCCACACTAGAAGTTTCATTCTTTTTTTCATGTTTGAAATCTGGAATGTCCAATTCACATTCTGGTTCATCCATTTCAACTTTGTTCTTAGGATTTTCTAGTCTTTCTTTTTCACTTTCAGGACATAAAAGAGCCCACGCATCTTCTGGAGAACCAAATTTGTCCATGAAAAGTTCAGCTTGTTCAATGGCTCTTGAATTTCTTTCGTACTCTTTACAATGTTTGTCTACTATTGATTTTACACTTTCCAAATTGCCTCCCTGTAGTTTGACATTACCTGTTTTATAAAATTCCTGATATGTCTCAAACTGTGGTGGTTTTAACTGCTCATCATTACTAAATGGCAGGAAAAGTTGCAATATACTGAGGTAATATTTTTCTGGAGAAAGTATTTTAGAAAATCGTGGATATCTTACGACAGCAACACTAGACCTTGTTCGTTTCTGAATGTATCCCGAATTATTTTTCAATTCAAATAAATATGGTGATGTTTTAGTGCCTTTCACTTGCGATGCAGTTAGTATTCTGTAGCATGCACAGAATTTTGCAAGACACATAGTGTCAAATTCACTTCCATTAGGTCTAGCTTTATATCGATCAAGTTTATTTGCCATCCATGGACTCCTATCATCATCATTATCGTCAGGTCTACTTTGAATAACATGTAAAGGTAAACTCATTCTAACAGGATTTGGACCAACCGGAATAAATTCGACTTTTCGTGAACACTCTTTTAATCGAAGGGAACATACACGATACACACTCTCCTGTGCAGATACTTCTCGATTTTGCATGTAGACATTTCCGAGCTGTCTGATACTTTTTCTTGCATCATGATTTCCCTCATTTATTTCAGATTGAGCATGGCTTAAGAGCATTCCCATTTCTCTCTCTGATTTTGAAATGTATGATACAATATATCTAACACATGCATAAACATCCATAACAAATTGTAAGTCCATATTTGCATTCCATGCTCTCAGTAGAAAAGGATTGTACTGATTTATCCATACATCTTTGGGGTCTCTTTTCTTGATCAAAATTTCTTGTTTAGCTAATAACCTAGTTGCAGTTTCAAATTCAGTCTGTGTTGTGTTACAATCTTTAAAAAGGTCCGAGACATTAGTGTAATTATTTTCCTGATTTACAGCGTTTTTGATAGATTCTAATAATTGTTTTGCACTATCAATTTCATCGGGATTACCCTCTTTGGGATAAAGTACACATGTTCTATCAGATGGTGGTCTTGGAAAATTGAACCGACATGTTTTTCCCTTCTTTTTACAAGATTTTGAATGCTTTTTGCTATGCTGCTGCACATGAGTGATTATTTCATGGAGTTCTGGATCTTCTTGTTCGGATGGTATCTTGCAAGAAATGTATTTATCAATGAAGGAAACTACTTCCTCATCTGAACTATATCCATGCTCTGGTGCATCCTTTACCCAGAATAAACAATGTGTGTGTGGAGATCCTCGCTGTTGGAATTCAACACGATAAAAATAATCTATTACATGACCAATGGGATGTGCTTCAGACAAAATAACATTTTTCAAAAAAGTGTGAAATCTTTTGTCAAACATCCTTGCAACAGTCACTGGATTCGACTTTAAAAGTTCACATTTATCTGTCCAATCTAGGTCATTGATTTTTCGTTTATCACCTCTTTCCATTAATAAAGTATTTAATACTTCAGGCCATCTCATGTCTGCTGCCGAGAAACTTGCAAACCATGTAGGTATACCAAGCTGTCTCACCATGGCTAATAAATCTTTTTGTGTGGCAGACCAATATGGAGGAGAACCTCTTATCTGTTTCAGAAAGCGAAACCCTCTATCTGATTTTAATATGTCCTGAACTTTGTCAATTTGTTTTAAATCTTTGATAGTGATTGGTGCATCAGTATCACTTTTACTTGATGTTTTTCTCAATGCAATTGAAACACCGGACAAAACTTGTTGAATTTCATAAATGCACTGAGCATAAAAAATAAAATCTGTACTTTTAGCAAAGCGATTATCTACGTGCATTAGCCTATTTTGAAGATATCTTCCAAGGGTCACCCGTACACTTCTGAAATCATGATAAGTTGGTTGACCTTTTGGAAATAATACAGGAAAAGATTTAGGTTCATTGCTTTCATCTCTAAGAAGTGCTATGGGATTGTTGCCTTCACATGGAGCACAACAGAAAATATCATCAAAATGTTGATCCAGGATTTCTTGTCCAATATCAACTGGTTGCAAGCAGGTATCAAGTTGAATTCCATTTAACCTTGCTTCTTGGTCATCATTTTCCTGTTCTTCAAAGTTTTGAATTGAATCGTCATTGTCGTTTGTTTCTGCACTACACATTTCTCCTGACAACGAATTATTCCAGTTTTCATTGATACTTATATCAGAATACCACTTATTGTTTTTTTTCAAATAGTGCAACCCATTTAGCACCTTATTTTTATTAACAAATTTATACTCATGATGGCCCTTATAAGATATTTTCCTTTTCAATTTCACACGGATCAATTGATCTTCTCTTTCTGGTGGAGGTAGCATATTTACAGTTTTCATTGTATTCGAAGGCACACAAACAACTGGTCCATGAACTGCATTTTGACCTCCCTTAGGTAAACGAATTAATTTGAAAAAACTGATGTTACGTGCAATTAAATGTTGCTCTAAATTATTCAAGTCCTTCAATTCTTCTGGAATCTCATGCAATTGCAAACTGTTAACACTAGCCTCAGCCGGTAATTTATTCGTCAACAATTTTCTGTGGCATGTAAAGCATATCCATAAATGTCCACGAGATGAGTGCGCCAATTGACAGTTTTCATTACAGTGTGAATTGCAAATGTGTAAATAGGACTCATTCATACACGTTTTGTTTTGGTAATTTTGCTTAATGCATTTTAAGACTTGACTTTGAAAAAGCAATTTTAGGCATACACAACAGACATATTCTGGTCCATGAGAAATAACATTTCTGAAATTTCGTAGTACATTTTCTAATTTTTTGAAACTCATTTTCTTAAGTCCAGCACGTTCTTTATTTTTTTCTGCGAGTCTCTGCCTATAATGCTGGTTAGAGTGATACTTATGTTTTATTTTTTGTTTGTGTTCATCTCTAAATAATGTATTAGACTCATATTTTAATTTTATTTTCTTCTTGTGCTCATCTCTAAACAACATATTAGACTGATAGTCATGTTTTATTTTTTGTTTCATTTTTTTCTTGTGTTCATCTCTAAAGGATTTATTAGACTGATAGTCATGTTTTATTTTTTGTTTCATTTTTTTCTTATGTTCATCTCTAAAGGATTCATTAGACTCATATTTCAATTTTATTTTCTTCTTGTGTTCATCTCTAAACAATATATTAGACTCATACTTATGCTTTATTTTTTGCTTGTGTTCATCTCTGAAAGATTCTTCAGACAGATACTTCTGTTTAATCTTTTTCTTCTTTTCATCTCTGAAAGTTTTGTTACAGTGATACTTATGTTTCATTTTTGTCTTTTTTACATCACTGAAATCTCTTTTGAATTTGCAACCATCCATGTCATTTACATAATTCTCATTGTTTTGTACATCTTCGTATGCATCATGATCATTAATTTGTTTTCGTTTTGCTTTCATCCTTTCTTTAGCTAATTGTTGTCGTTTTTTTAAGGACTGCTTATATTTGCTTTTCTTGTTTTCTTTTTTAATTTGTTTTTGAGGAAATTCAATTGTAGACCCTTTTACTGGAATATTTGTACCTTGAAAGTTAGCACTAGATTGTGTTTTCTTTATACCTTTCAATAAATCAAATGAAAGATTCTTTATTTCAGATTCAGATAAACGTACAAGTCTAATTGACACTTTTTTCAATACAATTTTTTCATTCCGTATCTTTAAAGGGTCATTTCCAATGAACACGTTTCCTTTATTTAAAACATCAGCAACACCTCTATTCATAGTATTACAATTGTCTGATGGATAACTTGTAATTTTAGAAGCTGATTTTTTATCCCTCTCATCGTTTTCCAGTTTTGGTTCTTTTGTTTTGCAATATCTATGCATTTTTGGAAAAGACATCTTTTTCGACTTAGCACACTTTACACTTTCATGAATTGTGTCACCTTTTCTCTTTCTTTTGGACATAAACATGTCTTCACTTTTTCCGCTTAGACTTGGCATAAACGTTTCTTCAATTTCATCTTTTGTTGCACAAGATGCATATTGTTTGGATAGTTTACTTTTGTCTTTAAGCATTTCACTATTAATAGATCTCTTTTTATTACATGTAACTTCCTTTGTTTTTTTTCCTTCGTCTGTAACCAAATCAATACAATTAACAGATTCAACATAATCAAAATGTACCCCTTTAACATGTAATAGATAAATGCCCATATTTGAATCATGTACAATGCGTCCAGGGTTATTCCATGAATATAGTCTCCACTTTAAATAAATATCACTAAATATTAATATGTCTGTTTCAAGCAGATGGGCCATGACAGCAATTTCTACCTCTGTGGCCCATTCACCATTGATGTCTGGCTTATTTTTACTAACATAGTCTTTAACTGATACAAATTCATATCTTAAACAACCAGCAAATAAGTGCGAGTTTTCCAGCAAATGTTGGATACACTTTTGCCTCAGAAATTTGTGATTGCCTTCCTTCCCTGTCAGAAAAAGAGAGATTGCCCGGTAAAAACAATTTCCATCGCCGGTAATATTTGAAATAATAGCAGGAGTACCAATATTAATGCACGTGTCGATATCTGATTTCGAACTGATACATGTATCTGTAATATTAAATCTAGCACACATTTTTTTCTTTTCACTTGAATGGACTGGAAAATATTTGTAGTTATTTGTAATGTATTCTGTATCAATTACCATGCAGTCATCATCATCAACATCATCTATATTGATAGAATCAGGCCTATCTGAGGGAGCACCACTAAACAAATCTTTGCAATAATTTGTATCATGCTCTGCATCAATTATTATGCAGTCATCCTCATCATCATCTATTTCAATACAATCAGACATATCTGTCGAAAAACTGCTTGCGAAATATCTGCAATCATTCCGATCATTTTCAGTATCAATAATATTGCAGTCATCTTCATTGATTTCAATAGAATCAGGCACATTTGTGGGAACACATCTATTACTTTTGTCAGTTCTATCTGTTGGCAAGAAAAATCCATCATTACCTTCAACTACATTTATACAGTCCTGTTCATCTTTTGCAACATGACCATTATCACCATGTTCTGTCACAGTAATCTCGCTTGAATTGATAAGATTCACAATTATACCTGTAAGTTCAAATTCAGTCTGGTTTCTATTGATACCCATAGATTCAGCTAATTTCAAAATATGATCGTACACACCTTCCCAGTTTGATGAACATAGAATGACACTGGTCCCACCATCTGTCATAAGTCCATGCCTATCTCTTGAATGTGAATCAAAAATAAAATATTGTTCTTGTGTGGATATGATTGCAAATGTTTGGCCACCAAATGTACAAAAGCATGCATCATGTCTATCTAATTCCTGATGGAGAGCATCTTTTAATGTTACTGCATTAAAATGACTTAAAAAAGATTCATCTCCACAAATTATACCCACAACACTCTGAGAACATTGCATCTTAAAATGGACATCAAAAGCTTCTAATTGATCAGGTAACTCAGATATCAATAAGAAATCTTCATTTATTGCAGAACTAAGCTGAATAAATCTATACAACTCATTACCATAATTCAATACCTTGTCAAGATCTTGTTTTTGCCATTGGGAAACATCTGTAATTTTACTGTATAAAATAGCAGCAAAACTGTTAGAAACACATTGCTTTCCAGAATAAAATCCAAATCTAGCATTTCCTTGATGAAAATTGCCCAGGGCAACACATTGCACAAGTGTATTTTGTTCCATATTTGACATGTTCTCATTTGGTATTTGCTTCTCTTCTAAATTTACATTAGAGGTGTTGACTGACTGTTTATGAAATGTACTATCATGTTTCATTTCAAACATTTTCATAGGAATAGACTTGTCCACATGTTGCTTACAATCTTTATCCACCTTTACTTCACCCGCGTTTTCAGTCTTTCCGTCACATACTTTTCCTTTATCATTTGGTTTTGCACCACCACATACTCGAAATGTGCTCTGTTCTTTGCCCTTATATTGTTTTAAAAAAACATGACTGCATGTCGCACTGCCAACAATAGAATGTTCCTGTATTATTTCATTTTGTACATGGCCTACTACATCAGCCCAAGATTGTTTTTGCTTCATGTTATTTTCTTTGTAGAGTTTCGTTTCATGGGACATCATAGATTTTGGTGATTGCACACACTTTGAGTATTCATTTAGCAATTTTTCTGCGTACATTTGAACATTATTTTCCAATACATTCTGACATTCTACATCTCTGTTTAGTTTGATGTCTACTTTGCGTTTTGATTTTTTACTTTTTCGTCTTTCGTAGAAAGATTTCATTGCTTTGCCAATGTACGTTACTCCAGGTTCTAAAACAACACCATTTATGATTCTCTTTTTCTGACCTGTTCCACTGTCACTTTTTGCTGTTGAATGTGATATTCTGTCTTGGATCTTTTCCAACATCTTTGCCTTTTTTGATTTCACTTTCATCCATTCATTACTGCCTACTTCTTCGCTATGCACTTGATCACGTTGTTTGGGGGAATCTCTTTGAGTGACTAGATGATCATGTTCATGCGTGTCAAACTCACTTGATTTCATTACTTTTACACTTTGATTTCCTGGCTCTATAATGATTTTCTTGCATTTCTTAAAATACCTTTTCTTTGATCTGCATTTCTTGTGTTTGTCATTTTGCTTGGTTAAGAGGAGCACATCATCATTGAATACTTCATCCACTGTCTCGAGAGGCTGGTATCTATTGATATGAGAGGGGATACATACTTTATCAAATAGTCGATGTGCAATGTTGTTATTTCCACAATATGAACATATCCAGATTAATCTTTGCTCATTTACTAGATCTTGACACAAAAAGCCCATACATGTTACATGATAATGTTCATTGCAGCTCTCACAAGTAGCTTTGTTTTCACTTTCTTCAATTGTATTTTTACAGACACAACATTCTTCATTATGCGGATCGCATGTATATAGCATATCTACAATCTCTTTCATCACTTCCTTGAATTGATCAATTTCAAGTTCCATAATTAAGAAATATAAAATTCAGTAATATGAAATAGGTTAGAAAAGTTCAGACAGCTTAGTATAAAATAGATTTAGAGATCTTGTAGGAATAACTTTTGTGATTAAGAATAGATTTAGAAAGTTTGTAGAATAAGAGAAGATTTGTGAAATTTAGAAAATTCAGTAATATAAAGTATCACAAGTAAAAAGTAGGACTTCTTCTGTAGCAAACATTTAAGACTTCTGTGATTAGGTATAGAATGCTTCTGCATGAATATATAATAATGTTCTCATAATTGCTTTTGTAAATTTTTCATTTGTTTTTGCAAGTGTGAAGATGAAATGGGATGAAATGGATAAAAGACACAGCCAATACGGTCTACAAGAGACAGCTGTGGTACACTCTCTTCGGAGAGCAGGATCTTTCTGAGATAAAGAAAAGTGAATGATGAATATACGTCTGAAGACAGTTGGGAAGGGAATATGGGTGAAGATGAAATGGAATTGTTCAGTCCGCCAACAAGCTCAATGAGAATGAAAGGAATGTAAAAGTCTCCGCCTAGGAAAAGAAAAGAACCATAAAATTAGAATATGACATGTAAATCTTGCAATGATCAGTTGTACAAAGTTTCATTTGAATTACAGACAAAATGTACATAATTTTAAATACTGTATCATACATTCCCATCTACAATCATGTCACATAAACATTTCATAATTTTCTAAGTCATTCTAATCAATTATCACTTTTTTAATCTCTTGAATGTTAGTTATCTTACATTTTTTCCCATTGCTTTATTAATAATATTCCATGTTTTCTTCGAGACTTTTCTTTAAATATTTCTTTATCTCAATCTTAATCTTATTATTTGATTTATTACAAATTTTCCTATATATTTCTTTTCTATAATCATTAGGATTTTTAATATACAACTTATATAGTCACATATTTTCTTACTCAACTTTATAATTTTATTTGTAATCCAAGGTTTATTTTTACGCTTATATTTCATACACATTAATTTCACAGGGAAACACGAGTTATAGTTTTGTGAATTTAAAAACAAAGCTATCATAAATATTATTTACATCACTAGATAGATACCATTTACCTTGAATACAGCAAATGCAAACAAATTCTAATATTATTTTTCTTTAAATCATGTTTAAAAAAGTCAGTTTCACAGGTACATTTGTGAATAGCCATATCACAAATACAATATACTGGGAAGTGGTCAGAAATGTCAGTTAATAATATTCAAAAATAAATATGGCAAAAATCATATAAATATATCATCTAATAGCGATGAAAATCTGTCAGTAAAACAGGTTGGGTAATTTATAAAAGAATCATGGAATGTAGCATTAAAATAAACCTACTCTCCAGAAACTTTGCTTCTCCTAAAGTCCAAATCACTCAATTGATGCCATCAGTCTTCAAAAGAAAAATAACAAAGTAAAAAGTAAAACATGACCAAAATATTTATTTAAACAAGTCAACGCAAAGCGTAGCATCCCCTCGCAGGGTACAAATGGCCTACATATACATCAAAACAAGTTACCTCCATTGGGGCTATACTATTATATTAGTAGGCAAGGAAGTTGACCACATTTTTACAGATATAATTAGGTGTTTTTGCTTATTTAATGAGCTACATGTATGACTTTTCTCCTTTGACCTACATACTCCGAGATCAAACTTAGGCTGTATTTTGATACCATGACCTTCATATCAAATTTTATTAAAATCCGCTAAACGTTACTAAAGTTATCAAACAAAAACCAGATTCGTATATTTAATGAGCTATGACACTTGACCTACATACTCAAAAATTGAACTTAGGCTGTGTTTTGATATTATGTACCTTTATTTCGAATTTGATTAAAATCTGTCAAACATTAAAGTTATCAACAAAAACAAAAAAATCGCATATTTAACACTTTGGAGACGACGGGATTCTACAGAAGACGAGCAACTTTTTAAGTCTGTGACGACGGGTTTCTACAGAAGCCGAAATGTATCCCCAATATTTTTCCAGCTTATCATAAGCTATTATGTGCTAAAGTTGTTTAAAGTATTATTTAGATATATTCATTCATTTCATCTATTAAAAAAAAATTACGTTACGTGGAAAAAAAGTGATATCATTTCAACTTTACCCTAAGTTAGTGTTCGGATCGAAAAAAAAGCCCTTGAAATACCGGTACAGCTGGAGACGGATCAGTGATTGGATTATTTTCGCTGAGCAATATGAGAGGGCGTTGTTTTCCTTACATTTTCATAGATGTATTGTAGTTATTCATATAATAATATTATTAGGCCTATAGTAGGCCTATTCATAAAGACCTAGGACTATTCCTTTTAAATAAAATTTGCTATATGCCGCGTTTCACTTGCCCACAAATTACCAAGCTTACCCTCAACTGTGTAGTATATAAGTACGCATTTATAAAAGGACTTGGTAATTCTTCTCCCCTGTAATTACCAGTGCCGGAACTCTGACTATACCCTTTTCATTTTATCAACTTGACCAATTTAGCGAATCATTCATGTATGGATCTCCTCTTTTATAAAACGCCTATCTCAGCTGCCTGGATCGGACCCCACCCTAAGAGGAACAAATAAATGTAAAGAAGTAACTACCATTGTTCAGTAGCTACCATTGTTGAAAAAAAAAATGCAAGTTTTCTGGCAATAAAAAAAAGCGAGTGCAAGATGAAGAAAATAATTTGTATTACCATTACTACTTTATTACAATATTGTAAGCATCATCAATTCATCATCATCATCATCATCATCTTCATTTCATATATACATTGTACATGTACATACCATTTACAAAACTGATCATGAAACAAGGATTAACAAAGTTTTATTGACACGATAGGTTGAGCGAAAACACAAATGGAGACGAAAACAAATAAATTGAATTCTCACAAGGGATTTGACCAAAACCAGTCTAGATGTTCAATGGTTATCCTGATAAATGGGATTTGTGTGTCATTTTATTTTATAAAATATATTTAGGTAATAGTGGTAAGATGATAATATGATAAGGCACACAACGGCTTTTTTTTTCTTCAGATGGCAGTTCTATTTGAATAATCATGATCCCCTCCCACATTGAAAAAAGTAAAAGGCAGATATAGATTTACAAATGTTTTGCCTTATTTGTTTTTATATGTGTTCTATTAACATGATATATTACCATTATCGATTTCCTGTCACAGCCAAAAAGGGGGGTGGTGGCATGACTAGCTTTTTATTGTTGATTGCTATCATTTGTGTATTGCCCCCGAATCACAGTCATTTGTTTTATACATATTGGTATTGTTTTAGTGTGCCTATGTTTCTCATCATTGTCCACCTCAACTGTTGTGTTTTTGTTTGCACTTTTTTCCTTATTGTTTCGTAACATGTATTGAATTACTATATTTTAAATATCATTTATTTTTTTTAATAAATAAAGGACTACCAAGACTACGGTGATTAACTCCTTTTTAGCCACACCCTTTTAACAAAAACAACAAAACAAAAGAACAGCGCGATGCGGAAATAAATTACACTGAAGCACAATTCCAATTTTACGAAATTGCTGACATATTCAGAGAGGGAGGGGAACGAGGGAGAAAGAGAGAGAGAAAGAGAGAGACAGAGAGACAGAGACAGAGATAGATAGATAAATAGATAAAAAGAGAGAGAGAGTTGATTGTGATAAATTACGATTTTGTTTTAATCTCTGTCATTCATTTAGCTCTTTTCATTACAAACAAAAAAATCAAATATGCGTACAAAAATTCAATAAATCAGCAACCTCATATCAAAATAGGGTTTTAAGAGATGTATAGATAAAGAAAAAAATAAACAAAATTAAGCGGGAGCCAAACTAAAACAAAATAAATATTTCAAATTATGAAAAACTATTAAGTCGAAAGCATTCAAAGTAAATATTATTTTTGTTTTCGAGAATAAAACAATGTTCATCTCAAAATTCATTTCCCAAATAGTCCTATATTTGATTTGTGTTGTATCTCTGATACACTATAACATATGTGCTTTACCTGAGAGTTATTGTCTTATTGTCACTGGCTGGTATGTATATTACATTGGCATGTACATTACATTAGCATGTGCATTACATTGGTATGCATTGCAGCTGGCATGTCCATTATGCTGTTCTTTATACATAACAATTTGCACATTTTAAAAAAAGGGCATTTACTGTAGATCATGGCATAATGTTGGTCAGAATATAGTTACAAAATGTGTCGAAAACCCATGTAAAGCGAAGGCTTAGACCTATTTTTAACATACAACTTATATAGTCACATATTTTCTTACTCAACTTTATAATTTTATTTGTAATCCAAGGTTTATTTTTACGCTTATATTTCATACACATTAATTTCACAGGGAAACACGAGTTATAGTTTTGTGAATTTAAAAACAAAGCTATCATAAATATTATTTACATCACTGGATAGATACCATTTACCTTGAATACAGCAAATGCAAACAAATTCTAATATTATTTTTCTTTAAATCATGTGTAAAAAAGTCAGTTTCACAGGTACATTTGTGATTAGCCATATCACAAATACAATATACTGGGAAGTGGTCAGAAATGTCAGTTAATAATATTCAAAAATAAATATGTTCTTATTCCAAATATGTTGTAAAAAAAAACTCTCCCACACCACATCTGTTCAGAGCCAGAAGGGCATTAATTCTGAGTTACATCCTTCTCGTTGCACACATACAATATTATTAAATAAACCAATTTTACCGTACCTGTTCCACAATATTAAAATAAAAAAATAAAACAGCAGTCTCTTACCTGTATAATAGCAGCATTCAACACGATAAGGTTAACGCCACACACGTTGTATTCATTGATGCAAAAGGAGAAAAAGAAAAAAAACAAAAAAACATTTAGCAAAATGTAATGATATACATGTAGGTCTATTACAGTACATTAATGACAAAAATCATAGAGATCATTTGATGAGATTGATAAAAATAAACACAACATTGTAAATTATATTGATTAATGTCAGACTACTCAAGTTTTATTTAGCTGGTAGCTTAGCACAAATTTAGTGGCATGAAAGAATGCGTCCAGTAAGCAAAGTACATAATAGTTCATGAGAACTAGAGATGAAAACTTGTAATTTGACATGCCCTGATGACATTTATTTTGTAATATTAATAGCAATCAAGGTACAGTAGTACAGCTGTAGAAAAAATTAGTAAATCTGTGTCCTGACTCCTAATCATATATGGTTTTACCTCAATGGAACAATTAAAATTAAAAAAACAATTGTACAATTTGCGTTACAACGTGTCCATTAAAGATAAAGACCATTTATGGTCATGCGATTGCATTGTAAAAAAAACGTTGTGGAATCGATCAGTAAAGGTTGATCATCTAGCATATAAGTATTGGTATGTACTGCAACTTGCAAGGTTCTAGAATCATCAAAATGATAAGAAATTTAGCCCAGTTTTGATAAAGTTACAAGCACTGTACACAGAAAGATGTATATGGGACTACCTTCCTACACACGTGTGTGACACGTGCGTTATATCTATCAGGTCCAAACAGATATAATACTTTATCAAATATATCAAATAGTAGACAGTTTCTCAGCAACAGGGAAAAAATTAATATTTATTTTTCGGGGGCTACTTTTCAACCTTGCCTGCATTTCAACCTTGCCTGCATGAAAATAACGTTCTAAAATTTGTTTTGCATTGAACTCTATGCAAATTTAAGGGGGTTCTTTTCTGATTTTTGGGGGCTCTTTTGGGCATTTCGGGGGCTATTTCACCCTGAGCCCCCGTGTTTTTTTTCCACGCATTAGTCAAAACATATTCTTTTACATGATTGGTAATAAGAGCTTTCATTTTATTTTATGAGGATGGCATTTCCCAAACTGGTCTTTATGTTTAATGCCACTGCTTTGTACCAAGCTACCTTTGTAGAAAATTCATAACTTTCTTATTAGTTGTCTGATTTTGCTCTAATTTTTTTTGATTGGTTTGTCTGATTTTTCTGCTTCTATGGAAAGTAATTAATTTTTTTAGAGTGGATTTGTCCTTTAAAGCCTCACTGCACTACTTATAGCTACATGGGCCCTCTATACAGCAAACAATGCCTAATTGGTGCCTGTTGGTCCCCCATGATCCCCTTTTTCCTATGGTAATTAAGAGCTGATATGCTGAGATAACCACCTGTCAGTGACCTTGCAGGAAACTCTAATCCCCCTGGCCAAACTAGTACAGACAGGCTTTAAAGGGCAAGTCCACTCCAAAATAACTTGCTTTCAATAAAAGCAATCAAAAACAGTTTGAGCAAAATCGGATAACTAATTTATTATGAATTCTTAATAACATAAAAAACTCTGAAAATCACAAGACAAATTGGCAACTACTGTACATGTAACTCATGAGTCTGTGACATCATTGCCTCACTATCCAATAATTGTTTTTTTATATTCAGCATGTTTCCA